GTGTATGTATCCAGGGGTTAAACTTAACGATACTCAAGAAGAATAAAAAAAATCAGTAATTGTCATAAAACAGATGACTTTTCTTTAGAATGCATAACCAGTAGACATATTGAATAAAATTACAAATAATAAGAATTTAACTAAGAATTTAACAAAAGGTCTAGGCGACAAATAACAATACTAAGAGAAAATGAAAAACAACAATTAGGATGGGCAGAAATAGGCAGAATAGTTAGAACATCTTAGAATTGTTAGAATACATTAAAACTGTTAGAACACATATACAGCTAAACTTGTGATTCTTGATAGATTAAAACAACAGTCGCTGATATTGAATTGGGAAATAAATTAAATAAAGAGTCTAACGACATAAGCAACAGGTAGGTGTTTCCTTATTGAGGTCGTCTAGGGTGGTGTTCTAGTGTGGTCGTCTAGGGTGGTGGTGTTCCAGTGTGGTCGTCTAGGGTGGTGGTGTTGTAGTGTGGTCGTCTAGGGTGGTGTTCTAGTGTGGTCGTCTAGGGTGGTGGTGTTCCAGTGTGGTCGTCTAGGGTGGTGGTGTTCCAGTGTGGTCGTCTAGGGTGGTGGTGTTCTAGTGTGGTCGTCTAGGGTGGTGGTGTTCTAGTGTGGTCGTCTAGGGTGGTGGTGTTCCAGTGTGGTCGTCTAGGGTGGTGGTGTTCCAGTGTGGTCGTCTAGGGTGGTGGTGTTCCAGTGTGGTCGTCTAGGGAGGTCTTCCTTCAATGCTGTATCTAAGAAGGAAATTTCCTGATAAGGCAGTCACTACACCTGCTCCTACATCTTCCTAACTCCTCAGCTCCACTCACCCATTCTCTCCCTCCATCTCTCTCCATCACTCCTTCCATCTCTCTCCTGATCTCTCTCTCCACCTCTTTCTCTGTCCCTTCCTCCATCTCTCCCTCCATCTAAAAATATATAATGTTGTTCAGTCCGCAAAAATTTGAAGCAAGGTCTCTAATGAGCATTTATTGTTCTCTTTTTATTTCGCAAGACGAGGGAGGAGAGGGAGCTGGGACGGAAGCAAGAAGATGTGTGGAGGAGCGGGATGGAAGGAGAAGAGGGAAATAAGAAGGGAACTAGATAATATGTGGAGAAGAAGAATGAAGGAAGGAGAAATAAATATAGGGAAAGAGAAAGTGAGGAAAATATGGAATGGACGGTTTTGAAACCTATGTTTCACGGCAGGACTTTGAGCTGAGTGGTTTTGGAACAGGGAGAGACAAGGAGGAATGGAGACGGAAAGAAGTAGACTGAGAGAGAGAGAGAGAGAGAGAGAGAGAGAGAGAGAGAGAGAGAGAGGGGCAACAAAGTTAGATTGGGCTTGGTTAGGATAGGTCAGGTCAGGTCTGGTCAGGTTTGACTCACTTTAGGCAGCCCGGAGTGCAGGGTTCACACTCCTGCAAGTGTCTTGAGAGATAAGAACACTTGGTGCATCTTGGAAAATGTTGCAAACTTCACTTCAGCCGAGTTTCTGTAGGCTAAGTCTTCATGCTCGAAGACGAATATTGTTATCAAATATTCAATGAAGATTCAGTTGCATGCAATATCCCACGTTCCTCAGAGTCAACACAATGCAATATATGTAATTAGGACAATGTTGACACTAACCCATTCGCAGTTTTGCATTATCACCAACTTTTCCCTTCAGAAAACTGTAAGTGGTTCTGAAGAGCACTCACCAAAGCATGAAATATGTTTACATACATTTTGTTTATTCAAATTATACAAAATGTAATGACAACGTATATTACATAAAGTTAATAGGACTTCAAAATATTGGGAAACAACTAATTGTATAATTCGTGAGAAGTTCAGAGTGTGAAGATGTTGCATAGGTATGTAAACTTGTAAGTATATTTGTATACATGATTGTATGACTACCTTCATGTATACTTGCTTGTATAAGGCTATTATGAAGGACAACTATACCCTCTAGGTGACCATACCTTGAGGTTTACCTTGAGGTGCTTCCGGGGCTTAGCGTCCCCGCGGCCCGGTCGTCGACCAGGCTTCCTGGTTGCTGGACTGATCAACCAGGCTGTTAGACGCGGCTGCTCGCAGCCTGACGTATGAGTCACAGCCTGGTTGATCAGGTATCCTTTGGAGGTGCTTATCCAGTTCTCTCTTGAACACTACTGCTAATTTTAGCTGCTGTTGGAAACATGGAGACAGTGTGTAATTATGTAGGCGATGAGTCACAATAACGTGGCTGAAGTATGATGACCAGACCACACACTAGAAGTTGAAGGGACGACGACGTTTCGGTCCGTCCTGGACCATTCTCAAGTCGATTGTCAAGTCGGGACAATCGACTTGAGAATGGTCCAGGACGGACCGAAACGTCGTCGTTCCTTCAACTTCTAGTGTGTGGTCTGGTCATCAGTGTGTAATTATGAAATGTATATGAACTAGGATGTGCACATGCGTGGCTGTGCGTATATATTTACTTCTTGTACTGTCTTAATAGATAATTAAGGCCCTATTTGTGCCTGCAAGATCGAGCTGTTAACTCTTGGGCCCCGCCATTCTAACCGACTAATGTACTGTCACCCGACCTAATTTTTCCCATCATATCAACTGCATATATTTCAGTCTTACTCTAAAATACAGACCGTAACAGTGTCTAATTCCTAGGTACCTGCTAGGTGAACAGAGGTATCAGGTAAAACTCTGCCCACTGCTTTCTGTCTCGGCCGGAAATCGAACCTGGCCTCTTAGGACGAGGGGTCGTTGTCCTAGGAGTCCAGGACAGCAGCCCGTGGTCCAGGACAATGACCTCCTGAGACTGAGTCCTCGCGGCCCAGAACCTTTGCTTAACTGCATGTGTGTGTGTATGCAGGTGAGTTACATGAATGTGAGAACTCGATAATTGTACTCACACTCACAACAGTTTAACTAGGTATGTTATGAGTATTTTTGTGAGTGTATGCGTATGAGTGGATACGAAAGTATGAATGAGTGAATGTATGAATATGAATGATTGCGTAAAAACGCACGAGCCTGAGAACTGAATGATAAAGATGATTGATTAAAAATATCCACATTGTCCCTTGAGTCACGACCTTTGCAACATGTTCCCAGAAATAATTACTTTAGCTTTTAAACAGTATTGCTAACATGAAATGAGAGAAAAACAACAATGAATAATATTTACATTTTTCACGACATTCAATAAACAAATTTTGAATAAATTAAGAGTAAAGAAGAACTGCGATTTTACAATATATATATTTTTTTAAACATGCTTCAGCTAGTACTGACAACTGAGAATTTCCACTCTTGCTGTGAGAGTTCGTTATCACTCTCACTGTGAGAGTTCGTTACCACTCTCACAAGAAGAGTTCGTTCACGGAGCGAAAGAAAGCCGCTGCATTTTCAGTCTCCCTTAATTCAGGAGCCGGTGTAAAGCAGAGAATAATGCATAGAAATTTTGCAACAAAGCAAACAGGCATGCAACTGGCCGAATAACTGTTTCTTATGTGTTGTTTTTTGATGCAATAAGTCGTGATATATTTGCTTATTATTTTTGGTATATATCTTATGTCATGTCATATATTAAAGTTTTTTGCGAATTTTCCATCTTAATTTGTATTTTCAACGAAGTTTTTGAATAATTATTTTTTCAAATTAACGGGGAATAGCAGTAGACGGTCAATGAAGTAGTTAAAAGTAACGTAAAGTAAAGTAGTTAAAATCAAATGGACACGAAGAAACACTTCCCAGTTATAATAAAGCTTGCAAGGATGTACCGGCTTCGTAGGTGAGGGGGAACATCTGGAATCCTCAACTCATATTAACTTCAAATAGTTTTCCCTCAATTTGTTGTGTTATGCATGGTGCATTACGCTGTAGGAGTTATCGAAAGCTTATCGTAGTTCCAACTGGTCCTTTCTCCTACGGAAGGAGACAGCTTTCTTAAAGTTGTAAACAGTTAATAGGATTAACCGGTGCAGTCTGGGGGGGATACGAGAACCCAAGTGGAGCGGACAGTAGAAACAAAATCTGTTTTTATACGTGTAACAAGGGATTTGGCGGCTTGATTAGAGAACTTTTGGCCTTTGTTTATGAAGACAAACTACAATATAACACACAGTTTTAAGTACCTGATTTATGTATAATACAGAAGAGGAGATTAAGAAATCTTATTATTTAATAATATTATTATTAATAACATTAAATAGAAATATGTGTGGGGGAGTGGCTGGGGGAGTGACTGGGGGAGTGGCTGGGGGAGTGACTGGGGGAGTGGCTGGGGGAGTGACTGGGGGAGTGGCTGGGGGGAGTGGCTGGGGGGAGTGGCTGGGGGGAGTGGCTGGGCCTCTCAGGTACCCAAACTACCGGGTGAGAGGCCACTCCCTGGGAGTCCACACCGGTGCCGTGGTGTGGGTCGGGTGGAGGGAAGTGAAGCATTACTCCCGAAACACCGACCCAAGGCGGCCCTGAGGACAGGGTCCAGTCCGTCTTCATCAATAAACAATTGCTCATTAATCCAGCCGCCAAACCTTCTATTTATATATGAAAAACAGTTTACACGCGACTCACAATTGATGACATATGTACACAACTCGAACGGCGCTTCGTTCGCGACCTCTACTCGAATCCCACCGTTCTAAATGCTGCACCCACCTACCGCATATATACATAATCGCCACCAGAACCTAAACACCTAACTTACGCAGAACTTCAGCCACAGATACAGCAGCCACAGATACAGCAGCCACAGATACAGCAGCCACAGATATAGCAGCCACAGATATAGCAGCCACAGATATAGCAGCCACAGATACAGCAGCCACCTAACTTATGCAGAACTATATGTAGAATTTAATGTATAATAATATCATTTACATATAACAACAAACTTATTTTGATCACCAAGTATGTTCAAATTGTTGAATGCGTCTTGTGGGGAGGGGGGGAGGGAATGACCATAGTTGGAACGAGCGGGTCAGAGGCTTCCAGCAGTTGCTCAAGTACTTATCAACCTGAACAACTTCTCTTAATATTTGGCGGCCTTGTTTACATTTATTAAACAATTTGTGATCTCCGAAGCATCAGGAGGCTGTTTACAACGATAATTACATTTGACTGGGAAGATTCAATGCTCGGTAACATAAACAAAAAGTGACTGGCGCCAATTGTTGTGATATTCTTGCCCTTGCCTGAGGCCAGCTGACGGTCTATGTGTGTCGCTCACAGCTGTCAAGGAGCCTGAGGACAGCTGGCGGTCTATGTCTCTCTCGCTCACAGCTGTCAAGTTTTTCGCGGTAAATATCCGTATTTTGTGAGAACTTTGGTGTGAGTGAATGTATTCGTTCCTTGAACACTGGATGTGAGTGAAGGTACTCGTGCTCAAGCAGTTGGAAGTTAGAGGAAATAATATTTAGCAGCGATGGACACAGCGAGTCTATAAAGCCTAACTAGATACTTCCTAGAGCCTCCACGTCCCACAGCGCTCCACTCATCATCGTTCAAAGGTAATTCATTTCCGTTGTAATAAATGGTTAGCTCTGAAACGTGTGAGAATGTTGACGAGAAAATTCATCTCCATTTTGCGTGTTCCTATACAGTTCCAAAACGTATTTAAAGAGTCGACAAACGTGCTCCAAACTCGGCAGAATGATGTTTCATGGTGTTATGACTCTATGTGCTCTGCCTTGCTCTTGTAGTGACTCTGTACACCCGTGTTGCCTTTGTAGCGACTCTGTACACTCCGTGTTGCCTTTGTAGCGACTCTGTACACCCCGTGTTGCCTTTGTAATGAATCTGTACACCCCGTGTTGCCTTTGTAGCGACTCTATACACCCCGTGTTGTCTTTGTAGCGACTCTGTACACCCCGTGTTGCCTTTGTAGCGACTCTGTACACCCCGTGTTGCCTTTGTAGTGACTCTGTACACCCCGTGTTGCCTTTGTAGCGACTCTGTACACCCCGTGTTGCCTTTGTAGCGACTCTGTACACCCCGTGTTGCCTTTGTAGCGACTCTGTACACCCCGTGTTGCCTTTGTAGCGACTCTGTACACCCCGTGTTGCCTTTGTAACGACTCGGTAACGACCTGGGTAAAAAGTGGTTTACAAACTGGGTTATTGATTTTTGGAGCAGCTCCCCGGGTAACGTGGAAGACGTGGGTTCACTGGAGTGTTTCCAGGGTAGGTGAGACATGTAGATGAATGGGTATGGATGGATATAAACAGGAACTGTCACGTATGGGACCAATGGCCACCTTTGGAGCTTTCTTGATTCTAGAGTTTTTTTCTATAGTACGGCGACCAAAACTGGACCGCATAATCTAAATGGAGACCAACAATGGTAAAATAGAGCTGAGGAATAATATTGTTGTGTTTGGTTAACGTTACTAGAAATAAATCCCAGTATACCACTTTCTTTATTCCGTACATTTATTCATTAATATTTTGGCTTTCTCTCCCTAATAATTATTTCCTCGGAGTTTGTTCCTCTTCAGGCCTCGCTGTTTCAATACCGTCCAGCTGATTTCTTGTAACTCTATCATCATTATCCAGCCTCTACACACATCTCAGAGTGAGAGAGGGGGAGAGAGAGAGAGCGAGAGGGTGAGAGGGAGAGCGAGCGAGTGAGGGAGGGAGAGCGAGCGAGGGAGGGAGAGCGAGCGAGGGAGGGAGAGCGAGCGAGCGAGAGAGGGAGGGAGGGAGGGAGAGCGAGAGGGTGAGAGGGAGAGCGAGCGAGAGGGAGGGAGAGCGAGCGAGCGAGAGAGGGAGAGAGAGAGAGCGAGCGAGCGAGAGAGGGAGGGAGAGAGAGCGAGCGAGCAAGAGAGGGAGGGAGAGCGAGCGAGCGAGCGAGGGAGGGAGGGAGAGAGAGCGAGAGAGCCAGAGGCCCTACACACATCTCAGAGAGTGAGAGAGGGGGAGAGAGAGTGTGAGCAAGAGACGAGAGAGAAAGAGAGTGAGCAAGAGACGAGAGAGAGAGAGGGAGGGAGAGCGAGAGAGAGAGAGCAGGAGAGTGAGTGAGCAAGAGAAGAGAGAGAGAGGGGGAGAGAGAGAGCGAGAGAGAGAGCAGGAGAAAGAGTGAGCAGGAGAAAGAGTGAGCAAGAGAGAGAGAGAGAGAGAGCGAGAGAGAGCAGTTGAGGGAGGGAGAGCGAGAGACGAGAGGGGGAGGGAGAGCGAGCGAGCGAGAGAGTGAGCAAGAGACGAGAGAGAGGGGGAGAGAGAGTGAGCGAGCAAGAGACGAGAGCGAGGGAGACGGAGGGAGAGCGAGAGAGCCAGAGGCCCTACACACTACTCTCAACGCGGCCCACACACACTCACTCCCCCCCCCCCCCCCCTCATTAATCATCCTCAAACACAGATATATCACCAATAATTAGCTCCCTGGTTGCTTTGTGTGTGAGTGTGTACTCACCTAGATGTTCTCACTTAGTTGTTCTTGAGTGGGTTGAGCTGCGGCTCCTTGGTCGCGTCTTTCAACCATCAGGCAACTGATGTACATGTTTCTGAGCCTATTGGGCTCTATCATATCTACATTTGAAACTGTGTATGGAGTCAGCCTCCACCAAATCACTGCCTAATGCATTCCATTTGCTAACTACTCTGACACTGAAAAAAAATCTTTCTAATGTCTCCGTAGCTCATTTTCGCACTTAGTTTTCACCTGCATCTACATGTTGTGGTTACATTTAGTCATACCGTTACCCAAGAGCTGGAGCACGACCTGCAAGCGCATTCACCTTTCAAATAGGCTCAGGAACCTATACACCCGTTAATTGAAAGCTGAGCGGCGTGACCACAGAGCCGAAGCTCAACCTCCCGAAATTAAGAGCAAATGTACACCAAACACTTCATTATATACACAAGCACTAACAGGTAAGCATTCCTAGGAGAGACCTCGAACGCACGCAAACACACATACACGCAAACACATGGAAAAATGGAATGCACTTGAGGAACAGGTTGTGGAAGCAAACTCTATTCATACTTTTAAAATTAGGTATGATAATGGGACAGGAGTCATTGCTGTAAACAACCGATGGCTGGAAAGGCGGGATCCAAGAGTCAATGCTCGATCCTGCAAGCACAAACAGATGAATACATACACACACACACACAATAACGTGAGATTCTCCCACAATTTCGTCCCCCGGACAAAACAAAAGCAAGGCCGCCGCCTGACCAGCAAACACTTATCTCAGACCAAGAAAAACAGAGAAAAAAACAGGAAAAAGATAAGAACTAACACTCATGAATGGTCTAAAAAAACATGTGAAGAGCGCAGAGTTTTAACGGTAACGTTGAAGATCAAACTGAGAATATGTTTTTATAGTACATAGCGCAGACTTTAGTAGTACATACCGCAGACTTTAGTAGTACATACCGCAGACTTTAGTAGTAAATAACAGCAAACTTTAGTAGTAAATAACAGCAGACTTTAATAGTAAATAACAGCAGACTTTAATAGTAAATAACAGCAGACTTCAATAGTAAATAACAGCAGACTTTAATAGTAAATAACAGCAGACTTTAATAGTAAATAACAGCAGACTTTAATTGTACATAACAGCAGACTTTAATTGTACATAACAGCAGACTTTAATTGTACATAACAGCAGACTTTAATTGTACATAACAGCAGACTTTAATTGTACATAACAGCAGACTTTAATTGTACATAACAGCAGACTTTAATTGTACATAACAGCAGACTTTAATTGTACATAACAGCAGACTTTAATTGTACATAACAGCAGACTTTTATATTGGATAACGTTTACATTTAGGCTGAAGATAAAATGCTATCTTGTATAGATATAGATAATATCGACTTACGGTCTTAATTTGTTACAAAATATTCAAATAGATGTATTAGCATTTATATTATGTAATTAAGAGACGATAATGAAGACCTTGATTACTTGACAAGATTGTATGTGTGTGTGTGCGTGCGCGTGCACTCATTAGGAAAAGCAGGATTCGAACCCCCGTCTCTTCGGATTAGTACGATATGTCCTTTTAATTATTATATTTCGTATACATTTTCATTTGATTATATACAGAAAGGTGAGTGCTGTATCTGTGGCTGCTGTATCTGTGAGTGCTGTGGCTGCTGTATCTGTGGCTGCTGTATCTGTGGCTGCTATATCTGTGGCTGCTGTATCTGTGGCTGCTGTATCTGTGGCTGCTGTATCTGTGGCTGCTGTATCTGTGGCTGCTGTATCTGTGGCTGCTGTGCCTGCTGTATCTGTGGCTGCTGTGCCTGCTGTATCTGTGGCTGCTGTATGTATGGCTGCTGTATCTGTAAGTGCTGTATCTGTGAGAGCTGTAAATAATGTATACGTAAGTAATACTGAACTTACGTACAGTATTCTGCCTGATAGTCTTCTGACATATAATACAATATTAGAGACGAATTTTTGAAATCCTTTTCGGATTTAAGTTTTCATTCAAAAGGAATTTATCTGGACACAGTCTTTATGTACTTGGGCATTTAGGAAGGTTGTCGTTGCTGTCCTGTAAAGCGTGTTTTTAATGCGTGCAATTCGGTGTCTTTCTCTGTTTAAGTGTCACTGGTATTTTAAACGATTTCACATGTTCTCAAAAGTCACTCGTTATCGTTCACAATCATTTGGGCTGGACGGTAGAGCGACGGACTCGCTTCATGCTGGTCGGTGTTCAACCTCCCGACTGTTCGTGGTTGTGCACCATTCCCCCCCCCCCCCCGGTCCCAACCCAAATCCTTATCCTGATCTATTCCATGTGAAATATAGTCGTAATGTCTTACTGCTTTCTCTTGATATTTCTCTTCGTTATCGTCCAACATGTTTAGTCACAGGTGCCATCTACCGCCGATGTGTACCTTTAACTTCCTTATAACTGTTGACCAGACCACACACTAGAAGTTGAAGGGACGACGACGTTTCGGTCCGTCCTGGACCATTCTCAAGTCGATTGTGATTCCTTATAACTCTCCATAGCAGCACCGTGGACGTGGGTCGTCCCTCGTCCTACCACAACACAGGCCCTGGTGATCAAACGCCCCTTCTGGTGGCGAGCCGGAGCAAGCCGAAGGGGACTAATGGCCTCCTCCTCAACTCTTCGCCAATATTTACTCTCTCGTAAGTCAGGTGGGTCTTTGGTCCCCCGAAGAACGGCGCTCATTACCCAAATAGACGACTTGGCCTTTGTTTTGATACGGGGACCTTCCGGGCAGGTCCCCGCCTCGTCGCAGTTACCGAACGCGGCCCCTCATTGTATCCATGGGAGTTATGGCTTTCCACAACTAAATCGTTTATTTCGAGTTTGTTTTTTCTGTTTCTATTTGCGGGAGTCAACAGCCAAGTTGGCGGTGTCTGTGTGTTTATGTACGTTGAGTGTACGTTTGTGTGTGCGTGTTTGCGTTCGTGCATGAATGCTGTTTTGCTTTGGATTGGTGGCCGGACGTTTTCCAGCGAGCTCCCGGATGCATGAGCAGCTTCCGAACGTGGTCTGCTCATTGTCTCTTGAGAATT